GTCTGGCTTAGTCTTTCCATATACTTTGGATTCTCTGTACTCACCTAGTTCTCCTCATCTAGTTGTGCTTGGGGGGTGGTTGAGCTTTGGCTCTTTAGTCCCGCCTCTCAACTGTCAATCTCCTGACATCTACTTGGCCTCTGTGCTTACCTAGTTGTACTTGCGGGGGTTGAGCTCTGGCTCTTTGGTCCCGCTTCTCACCGGTCAATCGACTAATGTACTGGTTGCTGAGTCTACTGGGCTCTTATCATATCTACCCTTGTAGCTGTGTATGGGGTCAGCCTCCACCACATCGCTTCCTAATGCATTCCATTTGTCTACTACTCTGACGCTGAAAACATTCTTTCTATCGTCGTTATGGCTCATTTGGGCACTCCATTTCCACCTGTGTTCCCTAGTGCGTGTGCCCTTCGTATTAAATGGTCTGTCTTTATCTTCCCTATCAGTTCCTTTAGGAATCTTGTATGTGGTGATCATGTCCCCCTCTACCTCCTGTCTCCCAGAAGTTTTCTTCTGGGGGTGGAGGCCTTCTGAGGAGGAGTCAAGAAGAGGAGATGGAGTTCTCTTCTGTGTGTTGGTCATGTCCTTTCCGTTCCCGTTTGCTGCCTGTCTTCCTCGTTCCTCGTCTTCCTTCTACACTCTCGTCCCTAGCTGCTGGGGCCGGGGCTGTTCTTCTGGTCTTTTTCTTGCGTTTTTCCGTTTTTCTCATTTTATCCTGCACATTGTTGTGTGTTTTGTATGTGTCTTTTGGCTCTCCTACTGCTAGGTTGGGCTTTGTCCACGTTCTGTTCCCTGCTTTTGCACCGCCCCTGTGTTTGGTTCTTTCCCGGCTTGCCAGGTTTGGGTTCCTGGTTTCCTAGCTTACCCTGCCAGTTGGCATTTTCAAGGTCTCGCGGTGTCCCTTCTCTCGAGTCTCGCAATAGACCCACAGAGTCTCTTCTCTCCTGGCGAGCTCGCTGACATTGGGAAGTTTTCTGTATGGCAGACGTTCCATCTCCTTCCTTGCCGGCTTAGGTTTCTGGCTCTGCTTGCTCGATAATCGCACACGAGATTTTCCCGCGGCTCCGCCTCTTCCTATGTTTGATTGGTCTGTGGCGGGGCTGGTTCGGTTCTGCCTCGAGTCTCTCACCATTTGTTGGTGGTCAGGTGGCTTCGTTGCTGGTGTCCCACCTGCGTGCTTCTTCTTGGCGGCGGTATGGGGTTTTTTGGTGGTCCTTCCTTTTCTTTCTATCCCTTCTTAGGTTTGCTGCATTTTGTTGGTGTGGTCTTGTCCTTCTCTTGTGGAGGTTCAGGGCCGTTATCATGCTCCATGCTCTCGCCTTGTCTCGGGCGGCGCTGGCAGAGCCGTTTTGGGTAGCTTCGGGTTTGGAGTTGCCTCTGCACCACTTCGCAGGCTGTCTCTGGTGTGGTTCATCTTCAGCCTGCTCTTGCACCGCTTGAGCTGTCCTGGTTCTTGGATTGTGTGCTCTTTTCTCTTCTCCTCGGTTTGTTGTGGCTCCTTCGGATGAACCCCTTCAGAACTCACTTTCCCCTTTCAGAGCAGGAGAGATTGCTGAAATAGAGGGAATACAGAGAACATATACGGCACGCATAGACGAGATAAAACACCTAAATTATTGGGGTCGTCTCAAAGCTCTCCAAATGTACTCACTAGAAAGGAGACGAGAGAGATACCAAATAATATACACATGGTAAATACTGGAGGGCAAGGTCCCAAATCTACACAGTAAAATAACAACATACTGGAGTGAACGATATGATAGAAAATGCAGAATAGAACCAGTGAAGAACAGAGGTGCCATAGGCACAATCAGAGAACACCTTATAAACATCAGAGGTCCACGGTTGTTCAACGTCCTCCCAGCGAGCATAAGAAATATTACCGGAACAACTGTGGACATCTTCAAGAGGAAACTAGATTGTTTCCTCCAAGGAGTTCCAGACCAACAGGGCTGTGGTAGGTATGTGGGCCTGCGGGCCGCTGCAAGCAACAGCCTAGTGGACCAAACTCTCACAAGTCAAGCCTGGCCTCGGGCCGGGCTTGGGGAGTAGAAGAATTCCCAGAACCCCATCAAGCAGGATAGTTTTTCGGGGATCTTTTTTTGTGAGCGTTGGCCTCTGAGGGTCGGGTCAGAGTGCTTCATGCCCTCCTCCGGCACCTGGGTTTCGGCTCTTTTGGTTCTCCTGATAGGTTTGTTCGCTTGCAGCCGTCTCCTTCTTTTCTGGCGAAGACTGGCACGGCTGCTTTTCGGAGGGGTCCTTGGGTTGTTGAGACTTGGTTGGTCTGGCCAGGGGTGCATCGTGTGTTCTCAGTTGTGGAACTTCGCCGTACTTGCCATGCTACAGCTGCCGTGACCTCACGCTTTGGGTTGTTTTGGGTTCCTTTCGTCTCCGTTCCAGGGACCAGTTCTCTCGGGTCGTCTGCAGGTGATTCAGTTTTGCCAGCCTGCGGTGTGTCCCCATGCCCACGTTGTTCGTAGGTTGGCTCTTGTGTTCCTTCGTTGATGTTCCTGGGCCTTGTCAGGCCTTTGTGGCCTTGGGTTGGCAGTTGCAGTTTTGTCTCTGCTTCGCGTTGGGGTGTGTGCATCTTCCGCCTCCCGGGTTAGGTCTCTCTTGTTTTCGTCTTTGGGTAGGTAGCTCCGGGGAGTCAATGGGGCCCCCCCCAGAAAACTAGCATTGAATGTAATGAAACGCCATTTTTTGGGCGAGTCCCGAAGGCTCCCCGCCATCCCTCCCTCCCTCCCCCCCTCCGGTCGGCGGTTTTGCGCGTGGTTTGATGTCTAGCCTCAGAACTGAGAGGTGGATAGCCAGCGCGTGGGTCTGGGGCTCCCCCCCCTCCTCCTCCCTGGGAGGGAGGGGGGAGCTGCGCGGACAGCAGCGCGGCGACGTGTGACATCATGCACGTTTACTCGTTTCTTTTTGGGGTAGGTCTATCCATTTGTTCGGCTTTTGGTAGCAATTTTTCACCAGAATAGGGGTTTGTTTTGGGACGCATACCTTTCTGGGAGCCTGACCCAGTCAATGGCAGACATAAAATGCTTTCAACCACACGGGGGTTTCTATAGGCCATTGCTTCCCATACCTCTGTGAGGGGGGGGGGCCAGGTTCTGGCCGTGGTCCCCGGTAGGCCCACAGAACTCCATTCACATGACTGATGCCAAAGTCTGACATTAGCATATCAGCCTGGAAAGCTCCGTGACTCGCCCAGAAAATGGCGTTTCATTACTTTGAAAGTTTTTTTTTTTTTTTTTTTTTTGCATTGGCCTCTGGGGGTCGGGTTGGGGAGCTTTATGCTCTCCTCCAGTACAAGGGTTTCTGCTCTATTGGTCCTCGTGGTAGGTTTGTTCGCTTGCAGCCGTCTCCTTATTTTTGTGGTGAAGAGTGAGACGGCTGCTTTCCAGAAGGGTCCTTGGGTTGTTGATGCTTGGTTGGTCAGGCCGGGGGTGCATCGTGTGTTGTGTCTGGTTGTGGCTCTCCGCCGTTATTTGCGCGCCAATGCTTCGGTGCCCGCTGGGACGCGTTGTGGGTTGATCTGGTTTCCCTTCTTCCCTGTTCCAGGGTGCGGGTCTCTCAGGTTATCTGCAGGGTTATTCGGTCCAGCCAGCCTTTGGTCTATCCCCGTGCCCATGCATTGCGTAAATTTGCTGGTCTTGCTGCCGTCTTTGGCAACATGTCTTGGGCTGACATTTATGCGCGGGTTTTTTGGCGGTCGAACAGGGTTCTGGTTGCGCATTACTTAGTTAATATTCCTGGGCCTCATCGGGCCTGTGTCACTTTGGGTCGGCATTTTGAAGCCAGTTGTCTCAGCTTCGCGTTGAGGAGCGAGCAACGACTGCCTCCCGGGTAAGTCCCTCTTCTTTTTGTCTTTTGGTAAGTAGCTTCGGTGAGCCGACAGGGCTTCCCCCAGAAAACCAGTGTTGAATGTAATGAAACGCCGTTTTCTGGGTGAGACCCGGAATCTCCCCGGCAACCCTCCCTCCTTCCGGTCGGCGTTTTTTCACGTGTTTTAGATATCCAGCCTCAGATCTGGTTTCTTGGGTAGCTGGCTCGAGGGGGTTCTGGGGCTCCCCCTTCCCATTCCTAGGGAGGGGGGAGCTGTGCAGATGGCGGCATGGCGATGTGGTAACATCATGCTCGTTAGCTTGTTTTTGCTTGGGAAGTTCTGTCCACTAGTTCGGCTCTCAGTAGCAATTTCTTAACCAGAATTGGGGTTTGTTTTGGGATGCTTACCTTTCTGGGTGCCTGACCCGCTCAATGACAGACATAGAATGTTTCCAACCACATGAGGGTTTCTATAGGCCATTGCTCCTCGTGCCTCTCTGATGGGGCCAGGTTCTGGCTCGTGGTCCTCGGTAGGCCTAAGAACTCCATTCACGCTGGCTGATGCCAAAGTCTAATATTAACAATATCAGCCTGGATAGCTCCGGGGAGCCTCTGGGTTTTACCCAGAAAATGGCGTTTCATTACATTCAACGCTGATTTTTTATTAAGCCTACAGTTGTGAATGGTTTTATAACCAGCTAAGTTGAAGAGTTGGATATAGTCTTTACTTAGCCATGTTTCTGTTAAAAGAATGAACGATAGTTTAGTACCCAATGCTATACTCATTATGTGCTCTGTATTCACTGCATGCCCTGTTGCACACTGTACTCATTATATTTTCTGTACTCATTTACCCAGCCTGTGTGTATCATGAGATATTTCACCCAATCACCCAATGAGATTGAACCATTTTTAGTTGGCAATAATGTCCTCGATACTCTGATCTAACACTCACCACTTAGGTTAATAAGACCTACTTTGCACTGTGCAACATGCAGCAATCATGGTCCCTCTCCATCACACATTACGATAGAAATGAGTTTACCTACGTTGATTTAAGCACATTTAATATAATTGATTACTCTAGTTATCTGTACTGTAAAAGAGGCTTGCCTGAAGTTCAGGCTGCCTTGGACATTCTTAGTATGGATATTAATTTTCTGAATGTTGTCCTTCAGTTGATACAACATCGGAGAATGCACACTGGCGAGAAACCTCATTTGTGCCCGTTTTGCCCTTATCGTGCTGCTCGCCGCGACAACCTTCGGTCCCACGTGAGGCGCATGCACAAAAGAGAAAACATGTACGGAGATACTTTCACCCCTCGTTCTGTGCTGTTGGCTGAAGCAGATTGTCAAGATAATCTGCACCATATTGCTGATCACGAAGACCATCAACAAGTCCCAGCCACACTCATCACTGGACCTGCAGTTCCAGGCACAGCCATCACCGGACCCCCACAACACCCTCATCCTCCATCCCAATCATCATCATTATAATCTGTGTAGGGTTAGTGCTGTGCTAATGGTGGCATTAGTCTATCGTCAGGGTTGGCTTGACTCTGTATCCGGTGTCTTATTCATAGTCATAACTTAATGTTAAATATGGGATGCATTAGAAATGTTGATAAAGCAAAATAATGTTGGGCATCGGAAAAAAACAGGCCCCTTGTTAGCCACGAGTTGAAAACTACTCTTTATTAGTGCAATTGATATACTTCAATAGAGATACAAGGTTGACTTTTACCAGCAACAGATAATGGAATGGAATGTGATTTATTTCGTGTGATTTTTGGAGATTGGCTTTACCGTGTGCTTATGAAAGACTTGTTGTGTTCTTAAAGAATTTCTGACTTTTAATGTTGCTTTACTTTGAAATTTTTATTTCATTTTTTATTGGAAAAATTCAGTAAGTCAAAAGATATTATAAAAGAATATGAAATTTATGTTCAAATTGTATTGTTATGTAAAATCACTATAGGATAGGTCAATTGACTCCAAGAGTCCGCACGTACCGGTGGTTAATCATTTGCTTCATGCAGAAAAATAAGAAACAACAAATATACATTGACAGCAAGATAGAGGAGGATGGGATGGTGCGGTGATGGCTCACAGCGACGGTGATGGCTCACAGCGACGGTGATGGCTCACAGCGACGGTGATGGCTCACAGCGACGGTGATGGCTCACAGCGACGGTGATGGCTCACAGCGACGGTGATGGCTCACAGCGACGGTGATGGCTCACAGCGACGGTGATGGCTCACAGCGACGGTGATGGCTCACAGCGACGGTGATGGCTCACAGCGACGGTGTTGAACTCCAGAGCGGGAATACGAGGCGGTGTTCTGTTAAGGTAACCATCAAACACACACCACCGTTTCATAGTAGTCAGGTCTTCACATACTCCTTACAACTATACTCAGTGGAAACCATTTGTCTTCATTCAGTTACTTGAGTATTCCACTTACTTTAATGTAGAACTATGATGCATGTCTAAAATCGAATTATGGAAAGCTAACAATCAAGAACGGAAAGGTGGCTTAAATTACATTTGAAGTGTATATCCACCTTGTTTATGAACTACATAAACAAGGCATTTCCGCTTAGACATTTATTTAGAACTGGATAGTGATGATGAATGTGTGTGGGGGGGAAGGGGGGGGGTTGCTGTATTGGTATGGTATGATACATTGTTCTAGTTCCGATTGTTTAGCGTGTACTGGAAGTAGGAACTCTGTAATGATGCATTTGAGATGACCCAGTACTGCAGTCTTAGGCAAGTATTGACTGGTTTAAGACCAGCCAGTACTACAGTCTTAGGCAAGTGCTGACTGGTTTAAGACAAGCCAGTACTGCAGTCTTAGGCAAGTATTGACTGGTTTAAGACCAGCCAGTACTACAGTCTTAGGCAAGTGCTGACTGGTTTAAGACAAGCCAGTACTACAGTCTTAGGCAAGTGCTGACTGGTTTAAGACAAGCCAGTACTGCTGTCTTAGGCAAGTGCTGATTGGTTTAAGACCAGCCAGTACTACAGTCTTAGGCAAGTGCTGACTGGTTTAAGACAAGCCAGTACTACAGTCTTAGGCAAGTGCTGACTGGTTTAAGACAAGCCAGTACTACAGTCTTAGGCAAGTGCTGACTGGTTTAAGACAAGCCAGTACTGCTGTCTTAGGCAAGTGCTGATTGGTTTAAGACAAGCCAGTACTGCTGTCTTAGGCAAGTGCTGATTGGTTTAAGACCAGCCAGTACTACAGTCTTAGGCAAGTGCTGATTGGTTTAAGACAAGCCAGTACTGCTGTCTTAGGCAAGTGCTGATTGGTTTAAGACCAGCCAGTACTACAGTCTTAGGCAAGTGCTGACTGGTTTAAGACAAGCCAGTACTACAGTCTTAGGCAAGTGCTGACTGGTTTAAGACAAGCCAGTACTACAGTCTTAGGCAAGTGCTGATTGGTTTAAGACAAGCCAGTACTGCAGTCTTAGGCAAGTGCTGATTGGTTTAAGACAAGCCAGTACTGCAGTCTTAGGCAAGTGCTGATTGGTTTAAGACAAGCCAGTACTACAGTCTTAGGCAAGTGCTGATTGGTTTAAGACAAGCCAGTACTACAGTCTTAGGCAAGTGCTGATTGGTTTAAGACAAGCCAGTACTGCAGTCTTAGGCAAGTACCCTCGCATGATTGTGTGTCAGTTGCAAGTCTTGGCTGAATCTCGGTTGTATTCTTGTATTCAGATGTTGCAGGTTTATTATGATAGAGATGGTTTAGGAATTATATGTTAATAGGCAACTTGCATTATATATTTGAATACAAACTTTGATTCTGAAGATGAGATTGAATCAGTGATGACTTCAGCTGGGTTTGATGTATATCTCCATATAAAATATATGAACAGTGTGGTAAATGAGATAGATTAATAATATTTTACTTGCATTTAGCATTATTCTGAAAATAGAGATTGATGGCTGTATTGTTATCCAAGTTGTTGACAGTTTGATGCAATGTATGTGGCAAAATGTCCCCCTAGATGCAGTCCCAATTGTCAGTCTCATATGCTCAATATACTTTTGCATGACGTAATATCATATAGTTTTAAGTTGGGTACTTGGCCACAGCGTTATCATTGTTGTAGAGAGATTGCGGTAGCCAGGCTGTGGTGCCCAGTTGCCGAGAAGTGCCCAACGAGTTGTTACCAGTAATGTTGAGTGTTCGGTAGTTATCACATAGGACTTTTTCTTTTTTTGTAATGCTTTGTAACCTTAAATAGTGATGTAACAAGGTCCCCAGTCAAATGGGAGCCACATGCAATAGAGCAAACTTGGGCTAATGATAATCTACCATGAATTGCTTAGGATTATTCATGTCCTTAATAGTACTCCACAAATGATGGGCATAATTAGTGCCAGAGTGAAAGTCGGGACATGTTTAACATTAGCCCAAGTTTGGTCGTCTCTTGACCTCAATATCTACCTCAGGATAATCATTGTTTAACCCTTAATATTGTGTTACACTTGCTCAGGATTGTATTTCAACATCTCAGGTATGTCTTGTTCATAATGTTTACAATATTCCAATGTAATATAGCTCAGGATGTTATCAGTTAAGTCAGAGTATGTACAAATTACAGCTTGCAAATATGGTTATCACTTAAGTATCTCAGGAAACATTAGTAGTACAATATTTAATAGCTAACAGATTTATGGCGAGTGATAAAGTTATTTAATGAGTGCCCCGTATGTCCGTGTCAAGGGAGGCTTAAGTTACGGGTTGGCAGTTGATGCAGCCTTTATGAGAGCGTGGGTAACTCCCTTCACCTAACATATTTCTTGGAGAGACTAACATATTGTGTATATATATATATATATATATATATACTGTATATGTATATATATAATGTATATGCATCTTTAGGAAATTGCTGATACTGTTTGTAGAAATTATGTTTTATTTGAGAGCAGTTCAACAGCTCATAATTACAACAGTTCAATGGATATTCAAAGTGCTTGGAACTTCATACGAGAGTGATGCACTGTGTCGTATTTGATGATTTGAGAGCAGTTCAACAGCTCATAATTACAAAAGTTCAATGGATGTTCAAAGTGCTTGGAACTTCTTACGAGAGTGATGCACTGTGTCGTATTTGATGATTTGAGAGCAGTTCAACAGCTCATAATTACAAAAGTTCAATGGATGTTCAAAGTGCTTGGAATTTCATACGAGTGTGATGCATTGTATCGTACTTGATGCTTTATTTGAGAGCAGTTCAACAGCTCATAGCTACAAAAGTTCAATGGATATTCAGTGTGCTTGGAATGTCTTATGAGAGTGCTGTGTTATGTGATACACAATGCCACTGTAGTATACTGTATTTCACCTGGATCAGCAGATTAGACAAATACAATAGATGGGGGGTGTCGTGTGTGTGTGTGTGTGTAGTCGTTTCGTTGTTGGGATTTAATTATTGAAGCTCTGGTTTAATATTACATAGATATCTGTTATTAATGTTGTTCCTTTTTTTTTTGTCTACTGCCTATGTAATTTTAGGCTGGGAATTCTAGTACAAATGTCAAGTCTCTCTCAGGTCATAGTGTTTAATCTGTCACACTGAGCCTCTAAGATGAGTATACTGTCTCAGTATGATGAGTATACTGTCTCAGTATGATGAGTATACTGTCTCAGTATGAGTTTACTGTCTCAGTATGATGAGTATATTGTCTCAGTATGATGAGTATACTGTCTCAGTATGATGAGTATACTGTCTCAGTATGAGTATACTGTCTCAGTATGATGAGTATACTGTCTCAGTATGATGAGTATACTGTCTCAGTATGATGAGTATACTGTCTCAGTATGAGTTTACTGTCTCAGTATGAGTTTACTGTCTCAGTATGAGTTTACTGTCTCAGTATGAGTTTACTGTCTCAGTATGACGAGTATATTGTCTCAGTATGATGAGTATACTGTCTCAGTATGATGAGTATACTGTCTCAGTATGAGTATACTGTCTCAGTATGATGAGTATAGTCTCAGTATGATGAGTATACTGTCTCAGTATGATGAGTATACTGTCTCAGTATGAGTATACTGTCTCAGTATGATGAGTATACTGTCTCAGTATGATGAGTATACTGTCTCAGTATGATGAGTATACTGTCTCAGTATGATGAGTATACTGTCTCAGTATGATGAGTATACTGTCTCAGTATGAGTTTACTGTCTCAGTATGACGAGTATATTGTCTCAGTATGATGAGTATACTGTCTCAGTATGATGAGTATACTGTCTCAGTATGACATGTATACTGTCTCAGTAGGACGAGTATACTGTCTCAGCATGACGAGTATACTGTCTCAGTATGACGAGTATACTGTCTCAGTATGACATGTATACTGTCTCAGTAGGACGAGTATACTGTCTCAGTAGGACGAGTATACTGTCTCAGTAGGACGAGTATACTGTCTCAGCATGACGAGTATACTGTCTCAGTATGACAAGTATACGTGTACAGCATAGTTGTTTTAGTAGCTGAAGGAGAACTGATCTTCGGTGATGCTGCCACGTGAAGTATAAACACAAATTACCTCTCAACCCTTAATGCTTATCATTATATTCTTTGTCATATTAATAGTACAGTAGTTTCACAATATATGTGAATTATTTATTCTCTCTGCTGCACAATTTACAATGGAGAATTTAAAATATTACATTTGATGGGAGTTATTTTAATGTTCTGTTGGCCGGAACATTTGCTATTTTAAGATGGGTTTACTTTCCGTTATTGGAACAGCATCACTTGTAGCGTTGAGAGGTTCTTCACGTGTTCAACGAGGGTAATAGTTTATATCAGAATATTTTAGTGGAAAAGTTAGTGCATTTGTTTATAATTCCCAGATATATCCTTCGGTTTTGTTACTCAACTTCAACTATATACTTGGATATATTTGTTCACATCTCGCAAGATTTTCAGTAAATGGCACATTTTCGAACCAAAAAAAATGTATCTTATAAAACTGAATCCCATATTCTTAGCTTGTAAGAGGTTCAGTTATGGGGTTTCTAGGATTAACATCTATTATATCTCTTATATTAGTTATATATAACATATATCTCTTATCAGTTGTCATTCAGAGTGGCAGCAGTTCCTCCTCCTCCTCCTCCTCCTCTCACAGCAACTATGGCAACTATTGACAAAGTACTTCACAATAAATTTGCTTTTTCTTAGCTTCATAAATCATTGCTTTAGTCGTTCCCAGTCAGAATGAACGAGTTTAAACCTCACTTGAAAACCAGGATAGTTGCCACAGTGCTACTTAAAATGTGATCCATATATAGAGGATAAGTCACAGTAGCACGCCTGAAAACGGTTAACTTGTCCGAGACATACGAAGTGAAAGTGACAACGTTTCAGTGCATTCTGGATCCTTACCAAGTAGTAACTGGTAGATTGATGAAGATTAAGCCACCCAAGAGGTGGCATGGGCTCGAGTAGTCGACAAAAGTAGTAACTGAGGAGGAAGTTATTATAAGGCAGGAAGGGCGAGGTGCTGGTGTGAGAGGAAGCAAGGAGAAAGTGGGAAAAGTCCGGCATGAAAACGGGAGTTAACGGCAGCTCCCTACTAGTGTTCTGTTTGGTCTCCAAGGGGGCGGCCTCTAGTTCAGTTTTGATGCTTTACTTCTCCGCTTTAGACTTAGTCTCACACCACCTCACCCTTCTTGCCTTGTAATGGCTTCTTCCCCCTTCAATATCTCACTTTCTACTTGATGAAGTTTCACGGTGAATAGACACATCGCCACTTTCGTACGTTTTGGTTGGTTGTGATCAGGATGTTAGCCGATTTGTTCTGTGCTCGCATGCTACCTCAAGCACAAGGCAGGAATAGGTGAATATTTGCTGCCATTTCGTGTGATGTCGGACTACGGGTATGCACCACTGGGGGCGGGGGATATATTTCAGAGCATATTTCATAGAAATTATTTTAATTATAAATGTTAATAGATATTCTGTTTATTAATTCATAAAATTAGCTTTTTTTATCATTTATATCTTCTTGCTTATAAAATTAATACATGTATTGACTGTTCAGTCATCTAGGCCCTAAGTAACTCTGTATATAAATATCCATTGACAGATTTTTGATTTAATATTCTTAATGCATGGGAGCAAACCATGCTCCATTTTAACTATAGTTTTCATATTCTATATTAGAGTTTGGTTAATTTTATCTGGAGTAATATAGTATTCAATATTGTTTTCTCCTCTGTAAATTAGCAAGTACAATTTTTAACCAGAGTTTTGCTGGATCAATGCCTTTAATAGTATATTTTATAAAACATTTTCCAACATTACTTTTTTGTACGTGTTTGTAGATATACGCAGAGCGTTTGTGATACATTTATGGCTCTGGTTTATCCAGATGCGTTACTTGATTATATTAAGAATATTCTTATGTTAAAAGTTTATAAGTTCACCATATCCTTGTTTTAATACGAGATTTAACGACCCCGAGTTGTGTGTTTGTGTTAACCTGGTATTATTAGTTATCTCGTTGGCAATTGTTTTGTGCTTTTTGTTTGTAATGTTGTATTTGGACAATTATGAACTACATTTTTTATTTTCAAATGGCCGAAGTGTGGGTGCTTGGTAGACTTGAACGCACGTATTACCATTAATTACGTGGGACCCATCCACTAGTTTCACCTCTGCCCACATGGTCACCACCGTCGGTACATCATCACGAAGTTGCTACCACTATTGTCATCACACTGTAGGTCACTACCACTATTGTCATCTGACTGTAGGTCACCACCACTATTGTCATCACACTGTAGGTCACCACCACTATTGTCATCACACTGTAGGTCACTACCACTATTGTCATCTCACTGTAGGTCACTACCACTATTGTCATCACACTGTAGGTCACCACCACTATTGTCACCTGACTGTAGGTCACCACCACTATTGTCATCACACTGTAGGTCACTACCACTATTGTCATCTGACTGTAGGTCACCACCACTATTGTCATCTCACTGTAGGTCACCACTACCACTATTGTCATCACACTGTAGGTCACTACCACTATTGTCATCTCACTGTAGGTCACCACCACTATTGTCATCACACTGTAGGTCACTACCACTATTGTCATCACACTGTAGGTCACCACCACTATTGTCATCTCACTGTAGGTCACTACCACTATTGTCATCACACTGTAGGTCACCACAACTATTGTCATCTCACTGTAGGTCACCACCACTATTGTCATCACACTGTAGGTCACTACCACTATTGTCATCTCACTGTAGGTCACCACCACTATTGTCATCTCACTGTAGGTCACCACCACCACTATTGTCATCTCACTGTAGGTCACCACCACTATTGTCATCTCACTGTAGGTCACCACCACTATTGTCATCACACTGTAGGTCACTACCACTATTGTCATCACACTGTAGGTCACTACCACTATTGTCATCTCACTGTAGGTCACCACCACCACTATTGTCATCTCACTGTAGGTCACTACCACTATTGTCATCACACTGTAGGTCACCACCACTATTGTCATCACACTGTAGGTCACCACCACCACTATTGTCATCACACTGTAGGTCACCACCACTATTGTCATCACACTGTAGGTCACCACCACCACTATTGTCATCACACTGTAGGTCACCACCACCACTATTGTCATCTCACTGTAGGTCACCACCACTATTGTCATCTCACTGTAGGTCACCACCACTATTGTCATCACACTGTAGGTCACCACCACTATTGTCATCACACTGTAGGTCACCACCACCACTATTGTCATCACACTGTAGGTCACCACCACCACTATTGTCATCTCAC